TGTCAATTATCTCTCTATCTACTCAATTTGGACCATAATTAATGCAAGTACGTAGTAGTGTGCTTGGCCCAATAATCTGGTCAAAAGTGTCATAGTAGGTGATCCACCTACTTGGTTCTTTAGGCTGGTCAATAAGTATAAGTAGGTGATGCACCTACTTGTCACCTACTATCTTAGTTAAGTCAAGCAAGCAACTCACTTATTTTATTCAATTTTCTAAATCTTACTCTATTTTTCTTTAACCTAATACTTCAGTTTGAACTTTAAACTCAAATGCCAACTTACTATTTCAAGTTTAAACACTTCCATCGAGGTTAACTTATACATATACCCGCTGAAACGTGTGGGCATCACATCACTTTCCGATCTAAATTCAAACCATCACTACTCTTATATGAAACTTGGTCCCTCACATATACGACAATTCTATGCCAGGTGTCATATGAATAGAACCATCATATGGAGAATACAGGGTGTTACACCTAGCCTAACACTTTGCAGTTATTGTTTGAGTTGGAACTTTTTATCTTTCGTTGCTTGAAGATAAGCTTCTTCGAAGCATTCCCACATCTCCTTGGCAGTTGAGTAGCCTACAATCAGGTACATGATTTCTTCTGTCAAGGTGTCTAAGATCCATCTTCTTAGAAACACATCTTTCTCCTCCCAAACATCAATATTGTTGTTGTCTTCTACATCCTTCTCAACTGCTACAGCTTTCTCAATAGTCTGTCTAGTGGAATAAGTACTTTTAGTTGGTTCATTCTTTGTGATGAGGTATGTTAATCTCATTACTTGAATCAACTGAGACATTTGTGTTCTTCATATGAGATAATTTGTTGTCTTGATTTAAATGGAACAAGACGCAATAAGATGGTGAAGTGGGGAGGTTGATAGGGTGTTGGTAGAAGACGCCATTGCAATTCGTTATTGTGGTTATTTCTGGTTTTTGGATCTAATACGTTAAACACCAAAAAGGCATTAATGCTCTAATACCATGTAGAATTCTCATGTAAAGTATAGAGAAATCAAAGATAGTATTGATAATGAAAAATGTTGAGTACATGCTCCTTATGTAGGAGAAGAGTGTTATACTATCTACACTAGGAGTGCTACTACAATAGAAATATATTATTTACATGAGTAGTATTACTACTATTAGTAAAACACCTTATCCTAGTCGACTTTAACCCCACACATGATACATCACCTTAGTCGTACATAAGTTAGGATTTAGTTGTTTAGTCCTAGTATGACTGTAACTCTACAGCAGTAAACACGCTTCCTTGGATTTGTTCCTTTGACATGCTCCAATCATCAGCTTTCTTCAACTTCAACACAGAGCTATGTCATGGAATCTGGTATATTTCTCATATCGAAAAAAAAGGCATTCTAATTTCCAAAGTAGAATCCGTACACAACATCTTTTGCTAAAGTGGATTCACTAGCTGGGTCATTTAAGACAATGCTACGGGGGCACGTAGTTTGGGACTAGAGGTTGCTACTAGATACTACCCTATTTGAGCCTCCACCTCAAAGCCCTCTCGGTTCTAAGTCTAAATTCCAACAAAATAGATTTTAAAAATCAATTATAATTAGAACATAGGAAAAACAATGATCAATACCAATCCACATCTTCAAAATCAAAATATAAAATATCTTCTTAAACACAATTCAAGCATGAGTGAGAAAACCTTTCACGAATATGAATTTGTATCTGAGAAATATCTTTCACAATCATAATCATATTTGAAAATGTCAAAAACCCTTTCACAACAACATTGATACTTTCAACTAAAAGAACCCTTATCATCATAAACATCATTATCACTGGACATGCATAACCTTTCAAAATTCATAATTCATAGGTTCATGGGTTCTTCATAATTTCATAATTGAAAGTGATAAATCATGTATGAGTTCATATAGTTTCAACTAAATATCATGTAATTATGTTAAATCGTGCAATAGAAGGTTTATTTTTTTCAAAAAGATTGCAATTTATTCATCTTCAACAAAAATACACAATGATTTGAGGGAGTATACAAAGGTGATCTGTTACCTCCCTAGTACTCAATAAGAGGATATCAAGCTATTCTATATGAGATGACGAAAATGAAAGAAGTTGAGGATGGATACTTGGACTTATAACAATGAAGCCATGAATCATAGATCATCAGTGGAACACCTATATCTATTCAAAAAGACAAAAACAGCCCATCCTTACGGGGGATCCCATATAATCTCCTTTCATTTCTTTTTATTTTTTGAATCTGAAATTGGCCAAACACCATTTGTCCATTGTCATTAGACCAATGGAGAATTAAGAAGAATCTTGATTTGATCAATATTGAAAACCTTGGGAACCTCATGGTGGAATGAGCTCCATGAGTGAATACCCGCATATCTTGCTACTCAAAGTTCCCGCATATCTTGCTACTCAAAGTTCAATATGAATGGTAAATTGAAGACCTTGGAATGAGCCCTAGCTTCTTCTTCTTCCTTAGATTGAGAGGGAACTTAGGAGAATGAATTTGGTTGGGTTTTGGGGAAATAGGAGAATGAGTTTGAAGTGGGTAAATTTAGGACTTAAAGTCTTTATATAGGGCTTAGGATGAAGGAAAAAACGACATGGTATAGGCTTAAAACATTTAGAAAAAGACCGAAAGTCATTAAGACATAACTGTCGGAACTGGTCTACCGGTGTGACCTACGAACCGTAAAAATTTTCTACGGTCTGTACTGGTCAACCGTAGATCAAGTACTGGACCTTAAAACCACCCAACTTTTGACGGGACCCTTCTATGGTCCGTAGGACTTCCTACGGTCTGTAGACCCTAATCGTAGAACCTAACTTTGGCCTTAAAATTTCACTAAGTCTGAGATCTACCTACGAGACCCATCTACAACTTGTAGATTTGAACAACCGTAGATTGAGATACTGAAACTTAATTTTCCCAAAAATTCAACCCTCTTTCTACGAATGCCGTCTTCGGCACGTAGATTGAACCTGTAGAAACCAACCAGTAGCAAAAAATGTCTCTTTTCCTTTTTTTCTAAAATTCGTGGTGTTACAACCAATCTTTCTCGAAATACAATCTAAGCATGAAAACGCTATGAAAAAGGACAAAATGGTCATTCTACAATCAAAAGCAGATTCACAAGAAATAAGACATTGCATTTAATTTATGTAAGACCACTCTGATCAAAAGTTAATTAAATATGAAAAGACCTTGTTCGACAAAAAAGAAATTCTATTAAGAAGTAATTTTTTCTATAATGATACAAAATTAACAAATCCTAACATAATACATTGCACGAGGTTTCTTCTTTTCCTTCGTTATGAAACAATTAATAACAGCCAACGGAGACGTTTAACTGTCTATCGGTTGGTACAATATTATTGTCGCCACCTTTTTAAAAATTATTTTTAATTTCTTTTGGCTTAATCAAGAGTACAAAAATAAAAATAGATGTAAATTTTGATATAACTTTTAGCAATAAAATTTAATAATTAATCAATATAAAATATCTAGAAGGAATGTTGTGCACAGGATAGGGCCACTTCTGTCTCCATATTTTCGATTCAAATTTTGTGTATAGTATACAGAGTATTTAATAGGTATATATGATGCACGAATCTAAATTAATTGAATTTTAATATATGTATCGAATATCACATGAATATATATATGTCCAAATAGTAAGCAAGACGGAAAAAGGGCATGTTTCGATAGAAAAACGAATAAGAAAACCAATTACCAACAAATTATAGAGATTAATTATTTGACTGAGTAGCTTAGAAGGAAATAGGAGACGTAGGGAATGGAGTTGCGTGTATTTTTTATTTTATTTTTTGGAAAAAAAGTATGTATTGGTCCAGATTGAGATCCACGTGGTGGTTTAATGGTGATTGTTGTCATTTCTGTATTGTATAACGTCCATGACTTTAATTCTCAACTAACAATTTAAACCACGCATATTCCACCCCTTTGGTCTCATGTCCTTTTTCAATATAAACACATTTTCAGCTCACCAAAGTAGAAGAAACACAAAAATGGCAGTTTCTTGAACAAATTTTCTGGGTAAGCTCTGTTGTTTGTTCATCTTTAGTACTATTTGTGTGTATTCTTTTGGAGAAGAAGAGCATCTTTATCTTCTTAATGCCAGTCTCTCTCATATTATTATACTACTTCGAATCTTGAATAAAGCTTTTATACTTTTCCTTCTTTCTTCTTCTTCTTTATTGTAATCAATCGCCAATCTGAAGAATATGTTCTAAACGAAAATATGATACTCCATGTCTTAGTCTCATTTTATGTGAGGTAATTAGAATCGACACAGAATTTAAGAAAGAAAGGAAGTCTTTTAAAATTTGTGATTCAAAATGAATTATAGAAATTTGTGTGAGTGTAAATCATTTTATTAAGAATAAAATAGATATTTTATAGTTAAATTGTTACTTAATACAAAAATATATCATTCTTTTTTGCACTGACTAAGAAGGAAAGTAAGTCACATAAATTGACGAGTATTAGATTGAATGCCTTGGAGCTTTCTTGAAACCCCTTGCGCTTCATGGTAATACAATATTCTTCCCTAGATATTCAGTTTCTTTCAATAAATAGTGATACAAAAACACTTTGTTAAAAGTCTACTAGTACATAGTTTTGATAAACAAGTCCTGTTTTAAGTTGGAAAGTGGAACTACTTTCCTTTTATTGTGTAGAAAATGGGAAAAGAAAGTTCAATTTCAAGAATAGTATGATTTCTTCATCAATTTGAAATCACATATTCTAATAAATTCTTGCAATAGCCTCTGCAATTTGAAACTATCAATCTTTTGGTAAATGAAACTTGGCCACAAATACTTAATTACGATGAGCTTTTTAACAGAATCTTTAAATCATACTTGGTCACCAATTATGACAATAGATACAACAACTCTGAGTTATTGGCTGAACTGGAGATTCTTAATATGTGCAATATTGATATTAGCAGCTATGGTGGTATCACTTCTCTTTATATTGAAGTATGATGGTTCTTCAAAGTCGAGAAGCCACCGAAGAGAAAATGGGCAAAAGAAAGCAGCATTTTTGGACAAAGATGATGTTTGGAAGACATGTTATAAAGCAATTCATCCTAATTGGCTGCTTGCTTATAGACTAATTGCTTTCTCCCTACTTCTGTCTTTACTCACTGCAGATGTAGTTCTCCACGGCGTACACATACTTTATTTCTATACTCAGTAAGGATATTCTCCATGTTCTTTTGCTCCATATTTCATCTTGGCATTAGTTTGTTTTGTGTACACATAGTGGATGTTAATCAGAAGCGGATCCAGGATTTGAACTTGCTATAATGTCAATTATTTCCCTTTTAAGACACAAACAACCTCGCTAGAAACTCAATAGCTCAGAAACAGTAACTTCAAAATCTAAAGATAACACTGTCTAATAAATTTCACTTTTGACTTCCATGTATTCTAACAAGCTACTTTCTTGATATAGCTATGATCGTCTTATCTTTTGTTTTTTGTTGCTCTTTTTGTACTAAACAGGTTGACATTCACCTTGGCTACGGTCTACTTTTTGGTATGTTACTCATCTATGACCATTGTTAAATTTGTCCGCAATTTGGTTCATGTATACACATCTTTTAGAAAGGACAGGCGTGAAAAGATGGAATACGGAGGAATTAATACTCCCATGCCCTGCAAGGCAGACTATTTATTTGTTATCCTTCAGTAAATAGCTAAAGAATTTGTCATTCACACTACCCATCATTTCTTTCCTCGTTCCTTTTAGTTTCGGATTATTGTATTTCTTATATAAGTTGGTAATGCTCTCAGCTAAATTTACTAGCTAGGATCTTCACTGTCCATCCGTGGCTGTCTCCAATCTTGCAAGGGAGATAGTGGTGCTAGCACTGATGGTGTTGATACAGAGAGAGGCACTTACATTGCTCCAGTTCCTGAAAATGCAAGCGTACTTATTGTATCCAATGGCTTGAATTCCCATGGCGAGCCACATGATTATTGCTGCCTGGCCTTGCAAATAGTCTTCCAGGTATGTTCTCTTTGATTGCAAGTTTTACAACCAGTCATGTCGGTTTCTTTTTCTTTTCATTCCTTTTTGTTGTTGAAGGTAAAGGCGCAGAGAGTTTATCTACTCCCATGTCGTATATAGAATATCTGGATCTTCTAGAATTTCTCACGTTTGTCACAAATGTTGATTATTTAGTTCTTTTCAGTCTAGTCAAACATATGTACGCCTTGGTAGGCATAGTTGCCACTAGTTAGTGTTGTTTGTCATAGAGGTGGTTTAGTACTATTCATGCTGCGTTTTATGGATACCTGGCTAATTGTTCCTCCTCCCCCAAATAATTTGAGATGACTGCAGGTGCCGTTGTGCTTACAGATTGTGTTTTTTGGCTCCTTATCTATCCGTTCCTTACTGACAAAAACTACAAATTACATTTTGTAAGTATGAGAACTACTTTTGCTTTCTTTTCTTGATCTTCTTTTAGTTCCATATTTTTTGCTTAATTGTCCCGTATCCGTGATACTTTGCTTCTATTCATGGCTCATCTGGTCTAGTGTTAATGAAATCAAGCTTGATCATTCTTCTTAATGATATGGGATTTACTGCAAGGACAAGATTTTTGGTGCAATTATGCATTGCTATCCAACTGTTGTAATCTTCAATTTACTATCTAAATATTCTTGCCATCAAGAGTTGACAAAGCTCATTTTTATACTGGCCTTGATCTTCTTCCCCTTGTATTGGGTTTTTCAGTTGTATTATATACTACATCTGCCTCTGCCTAATCTGATAGTCTACGTGTTATTGCAGCTGGCTGTTTGTATGCATTCTGTCAATGCTATTTGCCTTCTAGGTGATGTGTGTCTAAATCGTCTAGTAAGTTTGAAGTTCCATACTGACTAAGATTTACATAATATCCATATCTAAGCGTAGTTAATATTCATTCTTATTTCCTTTTCAGCGGTTTCCTTTCTTCCGGATAGCATATTTTGTTCTTTGGACATGCGTCTTTGTCATTTTCCAGTGGATCCTCCATATTTTTGTCTCGTTGAGGTATATTTGCATTTGATCATGGTGACCATTGTTCTTATGGGACACATAACTCATCTAAGGCTTATGCATTTTACTAAAAAAAACTGTTAACTTCTATTGGAACAGGTGGCCGTATCCCTTTCTAGATTTGTCATCTCAATATGCTCCCCTTTGGTATGTGTGCAACCTCCTAAGAACTTTTTACGCGATGTGTTATGATTTTTATGCTTATTTGTGCTCTTCATGTCGAAATTGCAGGTACTTTGCTGTTGGTATTCTCCATCTGCCTTGCTATGGAATGTTTGCCATACTGATTAGAATAAAGACTTGTTGGTTATCCAGATTGTTTCATAGCCCGATCAAGATGTAAGTCATGTTGGAGATGGTCAATGAGTTCAAACTCCATTAAGCAGCCCAGCGTTACACGAAATTGTATTCTTATTTCTGTGGTATTTTTTTTAGTGCACTGAAATAAATAAATATGAAATGTGATTTGATTTACCAGTAAACTGGTGTCATTGTATCTACTTCCTTCCCTGTCTATTTTTTTTGTTTGGTTTAAATTTCTAGGTTTTCATTCTGGGACGTCCATGAAAAATTTCGGCAAAAATGACGCCGAAATTTCGGATCACTAAAAAATTCATGAATTATAGCACACGAAAATCGGCAAATTAGGGGTTTTGCCTACTCCGAGGCTCGAAGGTCCCCATCAAGGTATCTATTTAGTTGTGTTATTTTGGCTAGCTTAGACCTAAAGGGCACAACACACTTACTTTAATGGAAGGTTTGATGAGATATATAGAATAATACAAGGATTAAATTTAGTAATCCCCTGCAGCAAACAACCTGTTATATATATAATTAAAAATGGAAAAAAAAACTTAAAAGTTTAATTACCATGTTACCCTTATACAAAATAAAAATATTTATTCAGTTAAATATAAAATAATAATCATTTATCAAAAAATATAATAATTTGAACGTTTTAATGTTAGCCTACTACTTAATTGGTATAACTTTTAATCTTCTTAACTTAATGTTTACCTTCTCAATAGTTAGATCATGTTGCCATTTCATTTTCTTTGTGAATTTTATTTTATTTTATTTTTAATTACAACCTTTCCACTTTTCAGTTTAATGTACAAAATATAAAAAGAATTTTTTAGAATAAATATTAATTACCCAATACACAAGAAACGTTTTTCTTTTCCATTTGTGTTCTTAATATCAAATGAACATTTACTTTTTATGTTTAAAAAAAGAAAGAAAAAAGAAAGCAAGCATTAGAGAAAATGAAGAGACAAATAGCGTTAATATATCATTTATGTAATTTAATGAAGAGTAAAGAGAAAGTAGAGATTTAAGGAAAAATTACAAGAATATTTAACTTAAGACTTGAATTTACATAATATCAGTCTTTTCTTTTTATTTACAACAATAACAATATAATTACAAATATGATAACTTATTAAATATATATATCTTCACACGTTTTTATACCTATTTTCTTGGCTTAGTGGCTGATTTTATGGGACTCATTATTTATTATTTTTACCATTTAGATTATCAATCACAATTATGACCGCATACATTTCTTTTATTTAAAGATTTATTTTCTCCTTCTTACTTGATACAAGTACTATTTTAAAAGATATTTCTCTCTCTTCAATTACGTTTTTTTTAATTATATTTTTAGATTTTGATGCTAATTTTTAGGGAGTGAAAATGTATCATCTAATAAATATGATTTCTATCCTTAAGCACATTTCTCACTGATTTCATACAATTACTAGTGGAAAAAGTTATTTTCTCTCTCTTTAATTTCATTTCAATTATTATGGGAAGATCTCTTTTTACTTCTCTCTTCAATTTTATATATGTGAAAAACAAAATTGGCCAGAATGTGTAACGACTTGTTCCCGTCGTTATAGAAAAGCCAACGGGGGGAAATTTGTGGCCGGAAAACTTTTTCGTAGTATTTGGATTTTTTCAACATTGTCCAGATTTGGACGAATTCAGAGTCCTTGAGGTGTGGGGAAATCTGGTAACAATCAGGTGAGTTGTTTTTTTTTATTTTGATTACATGGGTAGTTAGATAACTTGTTAACGAACTCGTACGACTTTACAGAATTGAATTCGGGCGAGTAGAACTCCCTGAATCGATCTTAGCGTAAAGGGTATTTTCTGATTGTCGTGGGTTAGAGGTGTGCTGTGAAATAGGATTTTGGAATTTCTTCAATTGACTCTCTAGTTCCGTTTGTGCCGCCTTGGCGGGAGTTTGGTCGCTCTGGCAGGGCCACTACAGCGGAATGATAGCCGTTGGGGCGGGTATGACGAGACTCAAAATCGTAGGTGAAAGACGAAGGGCTCACAGTTAAGAGGAAGCCGTTGGGGCGGGGTTTCTGGTCACCTTGGCGGGGCAACTACAACGGGATGAGGGCCGCTGCAACGGGCCCGACGCGACTTAAACATGTTAATAAACCCCTAAACGACCTCATTATGCACTTTTCGACTTTTAGAGCTAAGGAACGACCCCCAGGCGACTCTTACTCATTTTTCACCATTCTTGAGGCTAAAGGAAAGCTTTTCACTCCACGAATCCATTTTTCGATCCATAGAACGTAATAGAGTGGGTGAATATTGATGGGAGAGGGTTTTATTATAGATTCCATGGTGAAAACAACCCTAATTTGGATAGTTGGGATCATGGGTTTGATCTAGGGTTCATAGAATTGTTAGTAATCCGGGTAATTAGTGATTGTTTATTAATTTCCGTATTATATTGATTATTTGTAGGCCAAGAACAAGCGGAACAAATCCGGAAAGGGAAGGATCAAGTTTCTTATGGTTTCAAGCTTGTTTCGAGGTAGGTGATGGTTGTGATTCTATATTTTATGTGATGTATGCTTGTTCTTGCTTCATTATGATACTTGTGTATGTATGAATGTTCCAATGTTGAGCACACTTCTTATAAATGAGATAGATGAAATATCATTGCCATGAAATCATGACTTAAATGTATGATCTTGATGATGTACTTGTTTTTGTGATTGTGGTGTGTAATGGGATCGGATTGCCACGTTCCGGCATAACTAACTTGGATCGGATTGCCACGTTCTGGCATAATTATGGGATTGATTGCCACGTTTCGGCGTAAATATGGGATCAGATTGCCACGTCCCGGCATGCTAAATGTTTGGGTTTGGGTTCCATGAGAGGACCAATGAGGTAATATAAAATGTGAAATGCATTGTTGATTCTTCATGTTAATGATATTGTATATGTTGATATATATGCATGTGATTATAATGTTGTTTGACTTGTTTATGTTGCACTAGTGGGATAGTCACGTGATCCTACCAATACACTGTGGTTGTGTACTGATTCTGCATTTGCTCTTATTTTTGTTGAGTACAGGTCATCTTCACGAGACTATTGACAGACCTCGCTTAGAAGATCAGCGATCATCACTTCGATTTCAAGGGTGAGCCAATTCTTCCGGGATGCCATGGGATTCTCTTTCGTCTATGTCCACCATTTCTGGACTTAGACAATTGTTTTAGTTAGTTGATTAGTTCATTAGTATCTTCTTGTTTAGACTTGGATCATTTGTTAGATGTTTTGGTACATTGACTTTAAGGTTCTAGGTTAATTCTTCCGCATTTGTTTAGTTATTGTTGAACTTTTGTTAGAGTTTATGGAAACTCTATTTTCTTTCCTTAGTATTTGACTTATATGCCTTAGTTTTTAGATTGATTGCTTGGTTTGGGTTGTAATAGTGGTTCTCCCACTGGATTGTTAGTGTGGGTGTCAATCACGATGGTCTGAGTCGTGACAAAATTGGTATCAGAGCCTAGGTTCGTTGATCTCGATGTACCGAAACGAGTCTTAATAGAGTCTCACGGAACGGTACGGGGACGCCTTTACTTTTGTTCGAGAGGCTATAGGACTTTAGGAAATCTCTCTATTTTTTCTCTTGTCTCATTTCGTTCTATGACTTGATTCCAATTGGTAACTGTCGATTCAAATTGATATCTAACCTCCATCACTCTTCTGTCCGCAGATGGTTAATACTAGGTATAACGGTGTTAGGCCCGTAGCTTCTGTCAATGCTCCAGTTGAGGAATCTGGAGCGAGAGATCTCGATCGAGGCAAAGGTAGAGGAAGAGGTAGGGGTAGAGGCCGTGGGAAAGTAGCGCCTACTATGAATGAGGTACCGATTGATAATGTTCCTATGAATGAGAACCCTCATGCGCATAATGAGGAGATAGAAGAGGATATTGAGGTTGGAGATGTTGAGGAAAATGGACAAGAGAAAGAGGTGCTAGTGGAAACTACGGTTGTTCCTCCCATCGATCCGGTGTTAGCTCAACAAATTATGGCGTTCTTGAAAGGATTGGTTGGTCCTGGAGTGCTTCCATTTTCTCAAGCAACTCAAGCTCCTACTAATCCTCTTGTTGCTAGCACTGCGCCCAAGACGGGTTGAAATGTAGGTACTGATGCTTTCTTCTGTCCTTTGTTGGGTTCTGTTATGACCAGTAACAAGCATGACATGTTGACTAAGTTTTTGAAGCTTAAGCTTCCTGTGTTTTTGGGTTCTGAGACTGAAGATGCTTATGAGTTTATCTTAGACTGTTGTGAGAGGCTGCATAAATTGGATATTGTTCACCAACATGGGGTTGAGTTCGTCTCTTTCCAACTTCAAGGTGAGGCCAAGCAGTGGTGGAGAGATTATATGGAATGCAGATCTTCTAATTTACCTCCACTTACTTGGACCCAATTTCATGCCCTGTTTCTAGAGAAGTACGTGCCTAGAACTTTGAGGGATCGCAAGAAGGATGAATTTATGGCTTTAGAGCAAGGTGGTATATATGTGGCTGCTTATGAGGCCAAGTTCCATGCTTTATCTAGATATGCTACGCAGTTAGTTACTACTAAGGAGGAGAGGATCCGATTATTTATTAGAGGTTTGAATTCTGAGCTGCAAGTATTATCTATTCATATGACTTCTGCAGGAAGGAGTTTTAATGAAGTGACAGACTATGTTAAGAAAGTGGAGGGGGTGAGGCGAGACGGTCAAGCTAAGGCTTGGGCAAAAAGGACAAAGAATTCGGGTAACTTTCAAGGCTCTTACTCCAAGGGGTCTGGAAGGCCAACGCTCACAGCCAAGCCAATTCAGTCTGTTATGCCCGCCTCTACAGGTAACTACTCGGGAACTCCATCTCATAATTTTCAGGATAGTTAGAGTATCGTTCCTTCGACGGACAGCAGACCATCTTTCTATCGTACTTGCTACAACTGTTGTGAACCTGATCATGTGAGGAGAGATTGTCCCCACCCACGTGTGTTAGATTCCGTGCAGTAGCAGCAGTCTAGAGCAGTGGTACCCACGGGGAACAGTAATAATGGTAGAGGACGTCCACAAGGTGGGCAAGGAGGTAATCAGCGAGGCCGTGGAGGTAGAGGAAATGGTAATGGTAATGGAGGTAGGGGTAAAGCGAAACCAGGCAGGGAAGTAGCTCGACAAGATGATAGGGCTCAATGTTACGCTTTTCTGGGCAAGAATGAGGCGGAGGCGTCCGACGTGGTGATCACAGGTACTATTCTTGTCTGTGACCGGATGGCTAATGTGTTATTTGATCCGGGTTCTACTTATTCATATGTATCTATGAGATTTGCCTCTAATTTTGAGATGATTTGTGATATTCTTGATGGCCCTATTCGTGTTTCTACCCCCAGTTGGAGAGTCAGTCATAGTTACCCATGTCTATCGTGCTTGTCTTATTGTGTTTATGGGTTTTCAGACTTGGGCCGATTTGGCGATTTTGGATATGATTGACTTTGACATAATCTTAGGCATGACTTAGTTGTCCCCCTATTATGTTGTGCTTAATTGTAATACTAAGTCTATAACTCTAGAAATTTCGGGAAGGGAAAAATTAGAGTGGGAAGGGGTGTACAAGCCTAAGCAAGCTAGGATTATATCCTCCATTCGGGCTAGTAAATTAGTAGAGCAGGGTTGTTTGGCTTATTTGGCTCATGTTAGGGATGTTGAGATTGAGGCTCCATCCATTGGGTCTATTCCTGTGGTGTCTGAATTTAGTGAAGTGTTTCCTAATGACTTGTCTAGTATGCCTCCGAATAGAGATATAGATTTTTGCATTGATTTAGAGCCTGGTACTCGTCCCATTTCTATCCCTCCATATCGCAGGGCTCCGGCAGAATTAAGAGACCTTAAGGCTCAAATCCAAAAGCTTCTTGACAAGGGATTTATTCGCCCTAGTGCTTCCCCATGGGGTGCTCCAGTTTTGTTTGTTAAGAAAAATGATGGTAGTATGAGAATGTGCATAGATTACCGGCAATTAAATAGAGTCACTATTCGAAACAAGTATCCCTTGCCTCGAATAGATGATTTTTTGACCAATTGCGAGGTGCATCAGCCTTCTCTAAGATTGATTTGAGATCCGGTTACCATCAATTGAAAATTAGGCCTGAGGATATACCCAAGACAGCATTTAGAACTCGTTATGGGCACTATGAATTTTTGGTTATGTCTTTTGGTTTGACCAATGCTCCTACAACTTTCATGAGTTTGATGAATGGGGTGTTCAAACCATTTCTTGATTCATTCGTTATAGTTTTCATTGATGATATTTTGTTTTATTCGAAAAGTGAAGAAGAGCATGTCAACTATTTTCGTATTGTTTTGGGTGTTCTTGGGAAACAAAAGTTATATGCTAAATTTTCAAAGTGTGAATTTTGGTTGAAATAAGTTGCATTTTTTGGGCATGTAGTGTCAAAAGAAGGTGTAATGGTAGATCCTCAAAAGATTGAAGCGGTTAAGAATTGGGTTAGACCTAGCTCCGTGACGGAAGTTAGGAGTTTTGTGGGACTCGCTAGCTACTATCGTCGATTTGTTAAGAATTTTGCTTCAATTGCTACTCACTTGACTAACTTGACCAAAAAGGAGATACCATTTGAATGGACTGAAAAATGTGAGGAGAGCTTTCAAAAGCTCAAGACTCTCTTGACCACCGCGCCTATTCTAGCATTACCGGTTGAAGATAAGGATTTTATTGTTTACTGTGATGCTTAACATTCTGGTTTGGGTGTTGTATTGATGCAAGATAAGAATGTTATAGCTTATGCCTCACATCAATTGAAGGTGCATGAGAGGAATTACCCAACGCGTGATTTAGAATTGGCAATGGTAGTGTTTGCTCTTAAGATCTGGCGACATTAACTCTATGGGGTCAAGTGTGAGGTGTTTACTGATCATCGTAGTTTACTACATGTGTTCACTCAAAAGGATCTAAATTTGAGACAGCGAAGGTGGATGAAGTTACTTAAAGATTATGATGTGACCATTCAATACCATCCGGGCAAGGCTAATGTGGTGGCAAACGCTTTGAGTCGAAAAGCGGTGAGTATGGGTAGTCTAGCTTGTTTAAGTGTATCCATCGACCTTTGGCTAAGGAAATTCAGACCTTAGAGTCTAAGTTCATGCAATTGGGAATCTCAGAAAGAGGTGGGGTGTTAGCTAGTATCAAAGTAAGGGCCACTTTCATGGAGGAGATCAAGACCAAACAAGTGGAGGATGGGAATTTGGAAGAGCTTAGAGAGAAGATTGCAATTGGTAAGGAACAAGAAACCACCCTTGATGCGAAGGGTGTACTCTATGTTAAAGGAAGAATATGTGTTCCTAGAGTAGATGGCTTAATTGAGAAATTGTTGGCAGGGTCTCATGGTTCGTTATATTCTATTCATCCGGGTGTGACCAAGATGTATAGAGATCTGAAACAAATTTATTGGTGGTCGGTCATGAAGAAAGACACAGCGGAGTTTGTGGCTAAGTGTCAAAATTGTCAACAAGAGAAGTATGAACATCAAGGGCCGGTTTACTTCAAAAAATGCCAATTCGGAAGTGGGAAAGAATAGCCATGGATTTTGTGCTTGGTCTTCCCAAAACTTTGGGGAAGTTTGATTCTATTTGGGTAGTGGTTGATAGATTGACTAAATCAGCCCATTTCCTTTCGGTAAGAACAGATTTTAATGCTGAACAATTGGCTAAGGTGTATGTGAAAGAGATAGTGAGGTTGCATGGGGTGCCCCTTTCTATCATCTCAGACCATGGTACCCAATTCACATCAAAGTTTTGGATGAAGTTGCATGATGAATTGGCCACACAACTCACTTTTAGTAGAGCCTTTCATCCATAGATGGATGGACAATCGGAGAGGACCATTCAAGTATTGGAAGACATGTTGAGAGAATGTGTGATCGATTTTGAAGGACATTGGGATAAGTTCTTACCTTTATGTGAATTCTCTTATAGCAATAGTTATCACTCTAGCATTGATATTGCACCATTCGAGGCACTCTATGTGAGGGGATGTAGATCACCCATAGGTTTGTTTGAGGCTTGCGACGTGAAACCTTTGGGGGTTGATTTAGTGAAGGATGCTCAAGATAAGGTGAGGGGTATTCA